AGTAATAACTCAAACTATCTTACTGTGTTATGTCTTATTGTGAATTATATTCGACCCATAACAGTATAAAATATGTATTTTGTCATGACTCGGTCAACATGAACAGACAATAATGACAGCGCCATCTCCCGTCATTGTTTTGACTTTTTAAATTCATTTACGACAGTTGCTCATTTTCTCATCACTAGACCGCACAGTAGTGGGAAAATTTTGCTTTCCAATATGCCAGCTTACGACTTTATACTTGACTACTTGAGTTATACTTTATGTTAACCAAGTCAAACCTAACCTAACCCAATCCAATAGTAAATCATTGTTATGTTCTATAACTACGTTGCCTACATTGTATCCATGGCTATGCAATGTAAACATGTAGAAACTATGAAGTCATCAGTAGGTTTATTTGATGTGCTAATTCATTACAGACAAATCAATTGGCAATTATTGCCCATCCCGATCGAATTAATAAACAAAGCGAGGTTCGCCAACAACGCTGATTTATTCATGAACTACCAAGCTAGGTACATTAAAATCAAGATAGGAATGTAGTCAATGCAGACATTTAGTACACTAGTACTGTATTTTATGTTTGTTCATTTTTGCACGGCTGAACTTGGGTGATACAGCTAGTAGTGGCCAGTGGGAATTAACTACCTAGTTAAAAAGTTTTTTTTTTTTAACTTTTTAACTTGACTAGTTAGTTTATTTTTTAATCAACTTATAAACTTAAGTAACTTAATCGACAGTTTAAATAACTTAGCTTTTTGCAATTGATATCAGAAATTGTTTTGATAAAGTTATAAGTTATAAATTGTATTTTTTTAATATTAAATGACCTTTAATTGCTATATTATATAAAAATAATAATATTTGTTAAATTATTAATTTGAAATATATATAGTTTAAATTAATAAATAATATATTTTTTTTAGTTCAATTTTTCGGTGACTATCATACGTTAATACACATGTAATACATGTTTAATTTTAATTCTCCCATACTATTACGTCAAACATTTGTTGTCTTTTGTCTTGATGAGGGGAAGCTGAGGCGAAATAAATCAAGCACAACGAAACCGGTTTTTTTTTATTTCATTGGTACGTTTAATTCGGCGGGAAACGCTTGTTGTGAAAATGGGATATTTCACGGCAACCGTTGCGGTCACCCTGGCTTGCGCATGCGCTCATGTCGTCGCGGTTAGTCCCCGCAATCGGCGTGTAAACACCAAACATCCGATAATTTCACATACCTCTTTTTTTCGCACTACTGAGTTGCTTGATTGGCCGTCCATTTTTGGATACCAGCCGCCGTTATTCGTAAATCGTTTTTCGATACGGTATCGTCCGCGTTCAACGGCCATAATTCACCGTTTATTCAAAAGGCCGTTTGTTGTAGTTTTCATAAATTCAATTGTAGTAACGATGGCATGCAACATCATTATCAACTGAGCCGTTCGACCGCTTCAGTCGGCCCCAATAGCGGACAGGAATCGCGTCCCGCAGGAGCCGTTGGGTTAAGTACCTAATGCGGGTGAGTATTCGTGGATTAAGATCTTATCAGCGATCCGTGTCCGACTGGGCTCCGACTGAGTGCGCTCATAATTACGGTCTCAGCTGCAGGTGTGTATAAGCAAGTCTGAACTACTGACATCAATCATACTCCGCGCTTTTATTCCAAATGTCCAAGATGTATGATTCCAATAGTGACTTAGACCGACAGATCGAACAGCTCAAACGGTGTGAAATCATCCAGGAGCATGAAGTGAAAGCATTATGCGCTAAAGCACGCGAAATACTCATCGAAGAGAGTAATGTACAGCGTGTCGACTCTCCTGTCACTGTAAGTATAGTATTACAGTGTAGTACTTGAATTAATTAGTATACACATTTATTTATTCATTATTTGATTAAATTCATATTCTAACTAAATTTTATAGCGAATGGTTTTAGAATATACAAGTCAATTTAGCATTGATAGAAACTACTATTTGTCTACCTTAGTGTAAATGGCAGCACCTTTTAATCTATTATGAGCCTTGGAATTCGTAATAAATTATATCTTACCATTTTATTTTATTTGTACTAAACTGATTTTCTGTGTATTCTAAAATCAATAGTTAAATTTTATAGTAGATTCAAGCATAATTCATATTTGCAATTAAATTATTCATTAAAAAAAAAAAATGTATGTTATAATGTTACAGGTATGTGGTGATATTCATGGTCAATTCTATGATTTAAAAGAATTGTTTAAAGTTGGTGGAGATGTTCCTGAAAGAAATTATTTATTCATGGGCGATTTTGTTGACCGAGGGTTCTTTAGTGTTGAGACATTTTTACTTCTACTTGCTTTAAAAGTATATATAAAATAAATTGACATGTATTTATTAATAATTTTTAATGATATATATTATGATAGAATATTCAGTTGGTGCTATTTTTAAGCTTTTCTAAATTATATAGAAATAAATATTGGAAGAATAAATTATTTTTGAGATATAATTTATTTACAACTTCATCTTAATATCATAGTTTTTTGTTAGTAATTTATTATAATTTTTGTTTAGAGGTAATGTTTCTGAACCTCATGAAACTCTTTAATTCAAGTATTATCAGTTGTGTTTAAGATTAATTTTATCTATTAAATTATTATAAGATATCTATACTTTAGTGATCTACTGGTTAATAATACATTCTTTACTACATTAAGATTTCAGCATGAAATGTTTTAATTTTATATATGAATTATTACGAATAGCAAAAAATAATTTGTTTAATATTAAAGAGAACTCAATACTCTCAACAGATTGTTTTAGTCTTACAAATGCCCTACTTATTTGCTTAGAGAAATTCTTGTGGTGTTCTTAACTTTAATTTTAAAGTTAGTTATATCTACGTAAAATATTACTATTATTACCATTTTATTTGATGTTACTTGTTTCTAAATATCAATTAACACTTATTAGATACTATAGATCAGTGGTCTTCAACTAGATGCAACCCAGAGTTAGGATTTGTGGACTTCAAAATTGGACGTTTTGATATATATTTAATACTTCTTAAGAAATTTATTAACATGGATTACAAATTCAATAAGTTTGATGACCACTTCCCTAAATTTTATTCATACTTTTAAATTTAATGAAAAAGTAATTCAGCCTTAAATTTAATAAATATGATCAATTCTGTTAAACAATTAATAATGGCTTGTATGTTTATAAGACTGAGACAATCATTATGTAACAGCATCTTAAGAAATTATGGTTTCTACAATGTTGTATATTAATCTTATTAACACTTATGATATATATCACAACAATTATTTAGTCTAGTAAGATATCTAAGTTAACATTTCAACACTTAAAAAGAAAATTTTAACATTAAATGATATCAAAGGTATCAATAATTAATAAATAATTACAGTTATTTAAAAATTAAATTCTCTTTTATGACATATTAGTGATGGGCAACAATATAATTTCAAATATCGTTTTTTTTCTGGTGTCAAAATCTTTTTTTCTTTTTACATCCTATTTGGGAATTAGGAATTTAACTAGTTTATTTTATTAATGCTATATTTTAATACCTAGATATTATTGGTACACCAACATTGTACTTGTTTGTACTACAATAAAATTTAATTTATTATAGTTTAGATGCCTTAGAACCTGCAAATAAAATGTGATTCTTAAAATATAATATAATTATAACATTTTTTTGATATTGTGAAATTATTATTAGATATTGATGTTGTTGCCCATCACTAATATTAGCATATTTTTGTAACACCATTTGTTTTTAATTATCTAATTATTGATATTTGCTAGGATATAAATATTAGACTTTTTTTGTAGGTTAGATACCCTGATCGAATAACATTAATACGTGGTAACCATGAATCCCGACAAATTACTCAAGTTTATGGTTTTTATGACGAATGTCTACGAAAATACAATAGTGTTGCTGTATGGCGTTATTGTACTGAAATTTTTGATTACCTGAGCTTATCTGCTATTATTGATGGAAAAGTATGTTCTTTATTTATTGAAATAACGTTTATAATAATTCATTTTCTCATAATATTTAGATATTCTGTGTACATGGTGGATTATCACCTTCAATTCAAACATTGGATCAAATTAGAACTATTGATAGAAAACAAGAAGTTCCTCATGATGGACCTATGTGTGATTTATTATGGTCTGATCCTGAAAGTAAGTATCTTTAATAACCATAATTTATTAGTAAAAAAAGAAATAGTTTTTTAAACATATTAAATTATTTTAGATACTCAAGGATGGGGCGTGAGTCCACGAGGTGCTGGATACCTTTTTGGTTCTGATGTTGTTTCCCAATTTAATACTACAAATGATATAGATATTATTTGTCGAGCTCATCAGCTAGTCATGGAAGGATATAAATGGCATTTTGATGAAACTGTGCTTACTGTTTGGTCAGCACCTAATTATTGTTATCGGTAAATACTATACAAAATACATATACTATTAATTTATTATGTTACTTAATTATTAATGCTATTAGATGTGGTAACGTTGCGGCGATATTGGAACTTAGTGAAACACTCCAAAGAGATTTTACAATATTTGAGGCAGCTCCACAAGAAAATCGAGGAATGCCAACAAAAAAACACGCAGCCGACTATTTCCTTTAAATGTATTCTGATTCTTATTGTATTTAATTTTAGTTCACAAAGCATAAAGGAGGAATGGACAATTTCACAAATTTGAATTAATGTATTTGAAAGAATACTGACAATATAATGTAATTTTTTTAAAGTAAAAATACTTGTTCATAATATTATTGTTTTAATTAAGTTACCTTAACATTTTCTATTTATAAATGCCTTCCATGGAATTTTAGATTCGTACACTATTATAATAAACAATTTTTATAGTTTCTTAAATAAATAGTTATAACAACTTATAACATATAACTGAATATTTTTTACTAACATCTATACATGAAGTAAAATTAATGATAAAATATGTTTTTAATAAATTATTGGGTCTTAAGTTGAATTACTGATTGTACCATTAAATGATTAATTTATACATTAAACATTGAAAATGACATAAATTACTTATCAATTCTACATTATTACATTGATATTATAGTAAAATATGTTTTACTTAATAGAGATCATTAGTTGGCAAAATATAAACAGATATTGGTGTGTTTATTCCTGATAGGAATTACAAAAAAATTGTTATCCTTTTTGATAATTCAATTTTAACTGAACTTATTATAATATTAAGACATGTAATTGTTCAAAACTATGTTTGAATGTCCAATTGAGGGTAAATGTCTTCTTCATCTTCATCATTTTCATCGTAATCATCTCCTGGTTCTCCAAGGGCATTCACAAATTCTAAAAATATAATATAGGTAATTTTTTGAAAATGAAATATTTTTGTAAATGAGTGCTAGTAATTATGTACATATTGTTTCAATATACTAATTTTGCAAATATAATTATGATATTAAAAACTATTTTACCTATTTATTATTTGTATTAAACAAAAAGTGTTATCTGTATTTAAATATAGTTATTATAAAAAATAATTTTATTTTAATAATTTATTAAATATCAAAAATATAAAAGCTGATAAAGTGATAACATTTCACCAAATAATATTATATATTACACATAAACGTTGTTTTCCAGTTAATTTGCCTATTATTTAAGGTCACACTGTGGTCCGCTATCAAAAAATTATATTTTTTATGGCGACATAAAAAAAAATGTTCATTTAATATTTTGATTTTTCATTGATAAGAAAAATTTTATAAATGCAATGTATTTATAAAGCTTCCAAAAACTCCATGAATTCTTCACGTGTTTTTCAAAAATAGTATTTGGTGACTTAATAATAAAAGTACTATTAATGACAAATTTTCTAACAAATTTAAAACATTAGTATTTTATTAGTTTATTTAAATAAGTAATGTTAATATTATAAATTTTATTTATTTATTTTTTTATAAGAAATATACAAGGGCCATTAAATATATGCGTGCTACTAGCAATAAATTAATACACGAAAAATGGTAAGTTAAGAAACCATCCAGTGATCGCACTTCCTGATAAAAATATGATTTTACATTCAAAACATTTAACTAATTGCATATTATAGAATAATAAATTAAATTAGAGGTAAATACAAATTAAAAAGATTAGGCGATATCTATATACAAAATAGTATTCGTGCCACGTACATTATATATTTAGGAATAAAATTGAATGCGATAAGATTTGACTGTAATTTAGTTAGCAGACACTCTTTATCGTAAAGTTTGGTAAGTACGTACTAGAAACCCATGAAAACGAAAATATTTATACTAAAGTTACTATAAAGTATATAAATACATCGCTATAGCTATTTTATCTAAGAATGTAATAAGTTAAAAATGCTAAATCCTGATCACTTATATGATGCATCGTAAATTTTTTGACATGGGTACTAACCAAAACACATACCTATATTTTATTATGTTTATAAATTATATTTAGGTAAAAAAAAAATATTACTTTGATTTGAAATAAATGTATACAGGTACATATAAGTAAAAACGCGAATGGCTTTGATGTACGAAGTATAAAGTCATAAATATTCATAAACAAAGACCAAAATCTTATTTAAAAACCAATTATTAAAGTTCTGTAGGTCGAGGAGATCAATACATAGGTAAGCGAATAAAGATCTATATCTCTATAAATTCCATCATCATTATTTACACTGCCTTCATTATTTTAACAGACGTAGGACATAGGTGTGTATTTACATATATATATATATAAACATATGTATTATTATATAAATACGATATACCTATACTATACTATCTATATACCCATATAACAGCTATAGCTAGGTACTCAATCATGGGTAAACTAATAAAATAAAACGTGATTGTGAGATGTCGCGACGTTTTTTATACAGTAGGTATATGTACAATATTATTATAGTTATTTCAAAAGCACTATACGTATTACGTACTCTTAAATAGGTACAATGTAATAAATAATAATAAACATATTCGACGTCCTAGATACTTATGCACTTACCGTAAAAATCGATTCTTCCATCTCCATCCACGTCTACTTCCTTGATCATATCCTCGACTAGAATAAATAAAAGAAGATTAAAAAAACGTTTCTACAATCGCTGAATAGCGTAATAGGTACATCGTAATATCTATAGTATAGACTATAGACGTACCTAGTTGATAGGTACTTTTTTAATTTTTTTTAAACGTTACTTATATAAGTTAGGTACTTACTTTCTTCTTCTGATAAATCTTCGCCTAAACATTGTAGGACGGCTCTCAAATCCGATGCACTTATATATCCTCTGTTATGCTTGTCAAATACCTGAAACCACATAAATTCGGTTCAGTATAACTAATTTTTATGTTTTTTGAGAAAAAATAACTTCAATTTATTTTATGTATGTATAACAATTTACTGAATTATCTTCAAAAAAAAAAAGAAAATGTTCTCTCATGCTTATATACTTTTGGTAGGTACCTATAGGACATTATACCACTAAACTAGATACGAGACGCGAATTATATGTATAACAATATGTCAAAATTATTTTTCATAAAAATTTTTAATTAAACACGCGTTACACTAGAATATAATTGCTGAAGATAAACGTAATATTATTTTAAATAGGCTTTAGTTATTTTTTTAAATATGCGTACATGTTCCAGAAGTTTCCACTTTTTTTATTTAACTTACAGTCAAATTATTCACGCCAAATTATATAAAATATAGCATTAAAAAATACTCACTTCTATTATTATAAGTTATAGTTAAGTTTGATTTCATTACCTATTGCTGAAGTAAGCCAGAATTCTCCCAAAAAGAGCCGTTATTAATATCTTACACATATTTAATGTAATTCTTAAATTTTCTTATTTTCCATTTTTTTTTTTTTTAATGGTTATCTTTAATATATCGGTTCTTATAATATCCTTACAAAGCTAAATAAGCCTCTTAATCGGCTATCATCCCATCAATCAATTAGTCTTTTACCATTTTTTTGCAAAAATATTTGAAAAGTTAATTCTCAAACGTATACTACCCATCATTATAGAAAATAATATGTTATCTGATATCCAATGAAGTATATAATCTTAATAAATAATCTTATGTGACTATTTATTAAGCGCACAGATTAGTAGATTTTACACTGTATTCCCGAGAAAAAAATTGTACTATATACATGTGCCTTTTTAAACATCTCACGAGCTTTTGATGGATTTCTGTATAAGCTTAAAAGATTTCTTCTCTTTGTTTACTACAGCAGGGTCTTATTAATCCAAACAAAATTGAGGTAATGCATTGTTCGGATAACCGATTTGTTCAAATTACCTATGACTTGAAAAAAAAATCAATTTTCTTGTAATTTAAATTTTGAAATTTATTTTTATCTTTACTGTATTGATTTGTAAAAATTCGTTGTTGAAAAACACAATTAATACAATCAAAATTATTATAAATTATAATTTATAATTATGTATATACAGCCAGTTAATATAAAAATATTATTATGATGCACCTATACATCATATATGTGTGTATTAGTACCTACAGTGATTCAGAAATGTTCAAACCCGTTCGGATTACTACGTTTTTTGGATTAGTCTGTATTTGGATTAACGAGACTTTACTGAGCCTATTGAACTCAATTATAAAATCCTACCTTTCAAAACGTCACTTTGAAATTCACCATATAGATTGACAAACTCTGACATATAAGTTATAAACGCCGGAGCTCTTCGAGACACCGTGTTATCCCTTATTTTGTATAACATTTTTGTTTCTGATCTGCAGTCACTCTTAATATATCAGTAGCCAATTACGCTGACGATGAAGCGATAATTTCAAATTTCAATTTACAACAATCCTCTTGCTGCTCCAACAAATCAGTAAAATTACCTTGACCGTATATGAACAATTGGTTTATCAAATTATGGTATTTTTAAGCTGATCAAAACTAATCTGTTCACTTTTACCTTCAGACTTTGACCTAATGTTTCTCTATACGATTTTCTATTCCTTACTCTCCCAACTCCCACTGTTAAATATTTTGATCTGACTCTTGATCAATGATTAACTTGCATGCAGACCCACTATATATCAACTTTTAGACTAGCTTTAAATAATCATCCGCGTATGCTCAATAATAAATTAGTACACTTCTATACATGGAAATCAAACTAACTATGTACAAAACTTTATTAAAGTCAACTTAGAAATATTTATTGCAGCTATGAGGTAAAACGAAAAAATCAAATATTAATAAAATTCAAATTTTCCAAAACATTTATCTATAAAAAAGAAAACTAATGCGAATCCTTACGTTTCAAATTATACTCTATTTACAGATTTGAAATTTAAAACAATAAACTATGAAGCCGAATGTTTTTGTAAAATATTTAAAAACCACATAGGTCAGGTACTCATACGAATCTCCAAATCAAAAATTTGACCTCAGCTACAATATCGGGTAATCGTCTAAGACGCTTAAATAAAGCGCAAGCTATATTGTGATGATCTGTTATAAGATTTAATAATAAATAAAGTAATAAATTAGAAAGTGTTATCAATAGGCGGCACCTTTCATGAAAAATATTTATTTTTTATCACATTATAATAATAACATGTTTGTTACTTGTAACCTATATATTTTTATCGTATCAATAATGTATAAAACACTTGATAAAAATTTAAACCTATGTAAAAAATAATTTTTTTTCAAATTATTTAAAATTATAAGTGTATTATGATGTGTAGAAATATGAATTTACCTACTTGATAAATTTCATAAATTATATTGAACCTTTTTTCGAATTTATTAACAAAATTAAAAAATAACATAGAACTATAGTTTTATGTCATATATCTGTACAAAAATAATTATTAAACTTTTCTTGTAAAGCTCAACACATAATACACATAAATCCTATGTATATGTTTTATATGAAATTAATTAGTCCATTATTCTACTTTAAATTATATTATAACGCATTGTTCCAAACTACCACTATCAATATGCACTGTAGTAATTAGTTTGCGAATAATAAACATTAGAACACTATAAATATAATATAACAAAATAGTAATGTACCTATAATTCTATATATATATATATTAAATAGGATTTAATCAAAGTAAGAAAATATTTATACTTATATTTCTAATTTTTATTTATTATAATAGAAAATTTATATAATTTTAAACCTAAATAAGATATACAATTATTATTTTAAAACTACATTTATTATTTTGAACTTTGAATATTATTATAGAAATGATTACAGCTATTATTTTTTGTGTAAACGAACATTAAATCGTAATTTCTGACGTAACACTAATGTCTAATGGTTAATAAGGTTATCATTACATATAGGTGCTAAAATAATCAATGTATAAACAGAGGGTAGTCGATCTGCTGTATAACAGATTTCGAGTGGTCCTCGTCATTGATTAGGTCACTTTATGGATGTGTTAAATTTGAATTAAAACCTATAAAAATATTATTTAGACTATACATAATTGCCTAACCTATGTGATAAACGATTACATGATAGGGATGGATTTATATCTATTATAATTTTATGATATATATTTTATATTATTTATAATTGGCAGGGCTCAGATTTCAATGCATTTGCATCTTTTTTTTCGAATGTCTTACACGATGTTTTCCAAGCTAAAAATGTATTTCAAGTACTCTGTGTTCTAATCACAGCATTTTTTTTGAACATTTTTTTACACTTTTAATGCATTTTAAAATTTTTTTAGGACATTTTTAACCTATTTCGTATTATAACTAAAAAATTGACTTTATTTAAACATATAATAACTATATATAGTACTACGTAAAATGAATTATTTTCATTTTGAACTTAACATCAGATAATCCGGTTTTAAATTAGATAAAGCATTTTCAATAAATAAAAACTTGCTGGCAAATAACCGTCGATCATTTATTCGTGTTTCAAAAAATTAATGAAACTCTTTTTGTACAATGTAATGCAAATGTAATTTAATTTTTTACTTATTTTTAACTTTTTATAATATACTTCTTTTTACAGAACAATTTAAATTTATATAATAAATAATTTATTTTTTGAAAGGACATTTTTTAGAGTTTTTAGGTTATGAATGCATTTTTTGAAAAGGCATTTATACCTGAGCCTGAATTATTAGTAACTCGTTTTTCTTTAAGTATACATAGTTTGAATTAGTTTTTGCGAAAACATTACACAACAAAATAATAATTATTATAATACATCATGGCTTAATATGCTCCTACTTACCTATAAGTTAATACTAAAAATACACGTAAACTATTAGTTCAAAAATATCAATGAATTTAGAAAATAATGATTTACGTTATAGCGCAAATCCTCGAGGCAATGGTTCTAAACTGAAGTGCCGCGAAGTACTAGTTCCATGATTCATGAACTAACCTTAAATATTAATGAAAACATACATTTTTCATACATATACATATTATAGTATGCTAAGTGCTCTGGTATTTTTATAAAACACTCAAGGTTAGGTTATTGCCATGAAAAAAAAAGTTGAAAATCACTGCTTTACAGTTAGAATATTACTGAATTATAACAAATTAACTAAAATTGTTTAAGAAAAAATGTAATTATGTTTAATTGTATTAACAATCAACTTTTTATATTAGCTTATTAAAATAAATGTAAATTGTCGCTAAACTTTTTTTTTTATTCCATTTAGAACAACTCATGAAGAACCTTGTAAATTAATATATTTTTAACTAGAAATAATTTTAAGTTTTCATAATTTGACAATAAATAATAATTACAAAAATAAAAAATAAAGACCTTGTACTTTTTATTCCTAATTTTTAATTTCTATAAAAACAGCAATTAAAATAACAGCTGTCATATTTTCAAATTATTACTTAAAATAACAGTTTTACCTTCTTTAAATGTAAAAGAAAAATTCGATTAATCCAAAATTCTATAAATAGCACATTAAGAGCAATGATATCTTGGAAATTACATCATCTCCATAGAGCTAATATTAATAGTCACAACAATAAAACAAATATTCATTTCCGAATTACAAAAAAAAAAAAATTTAATCGATTTCGTTGAAACATAGTGTTAAATACATTTATTTTACTTTTAACTCTTTGTTATCCTCCAAAATGTCGACAATATTTGCAATCAAAAACTCTTTTACGCTTTCTAATGACGTCAGATATGAAAAAATTACTCTTATATTATTGTAAAACCTAGATATTTATTTATTAGCTTAGAATATAATTTCATAAATATTAAATATAAACAATAGATAGGTTAGACATCAAAGTCTACTCGTATATCTACCAATGGCACTGTAAACATTACAAACCTAATAGAATATAATATATACCTTATAGCCCATAGGGTTAAAATGTTACTTTATGTAATACTCCGATTTTAACCTCCGTGAACAATATTGTTTTTAAATTTTGGATAATCTGTGTAATTAGAGTGTACTAATACATCTACCTATACAATATTTCCATACCAAAGTTTAATCTTTATTATGAGCTATGACTCAACGAATAATGACTTGTGGCTCGTGGCTCGCAGGTAAAACATACTTATCTCTAAAAATAGTATTATCTATTTAGTATTAAGTAAATATTTATTAATATTATCGAATTTTTATTTATAATATTTATAATATACAAAAAAAAATTAACAAATTTTATTGCAACAATTTTATCTATTAATACGGCTTTACAACACTATATAATACTAGTTTCTAGGAGTCTGCGGGTTTCCGTAGTCTTAAAATACAAGATTTTTCATTTTGCACCTTTGATATAAATAGTGGAATATATTATTTATTTTTTATTTTTAATAAAGACTATTTAACAGTCTGTACACGAATGGTACAATAAGCTTAATCGATAGTTTTACAGTAGTAATAATAATAATAATTGGTATTAATATAAGCGTTTACATAATAATATTATTATTTTGGTTGATGTGCTTGAGTTGAAGAGGCTATCCAGCGACAGTACTTCGGCAGGAGTTAGAATATATTATAATATTTAAAACCATTCTGCACAATCCACCCAAAATGTATGATTACCTGGGTTATATTGAAATCTGCAAGGTGCTATAATACCTTTTATAAAACCCATTAAGTATAACGAGCGTTATCTTTTTAAACTTTATAAAAAAAACACGGATTTTGTTGGTTTTGATCTTTTTTTGTTTTTATAATAATTGGTTATGGTTTTAATTTGAATTGTTTGAAATATTTTATTTTACCGTTGCACCCTTTTTATAATTAAAATACATGTTTGGTGTGTTAAAAAAAAAAAAAAACTGCGTTATATTATTTATTTTATATTTTTATTTTAATTACACTTTTTCTGGCTCGAAAAAAACTTTAAAAAATGCCTACCGATAAATGGATATTTTTCTCGTATAGCTGAAAAATTTTTTTTCAATTTACAATTTAAAAGGGAAATGGTTAAATATTAAACTATTTTTAAACAGACATATAAAAATATGTATTTTATTTTATTTTAAAAGAATTACATATTTTTTAAAGTTTTAATATAATTGTTTGTTAATAATATAATCTATTTATAGTATGCATAAGTACTTTATGTGAATTTACGTAAGACTAAGTGTTACACTTAAAAAATTAAAAAAGCATTTAAAGCGTTGGACATGTAAATAGCATGAGTTCTTATTACTACCTATTTATTTCGTATTGTAAATTGTACACTATGTTTAAAACATGATATAAAAATAATAATTTTTAATTTGTTTAAAACATACCAATGTTCAAGGTTAAACTAAAATGTACTTTACAATTTTTCAAGTAACTAGTTGTGATTATACCTGCAATTATCGCGTAATAATAATTTTCATAATGTCGCAATTTAATTTTACCATTATTTAATGACTTTTTAAAATATACCCAACACCCAAAACATCGTTTATGAATATATATTGTAAGTATTCAATGATTTGATCTTAGATTTGTAGTTTTAATAATAATTTATTTATAACACGAATTTTAAATAGTACCTAAGCATTTAATATTAATACTATTCTGTGATTTTCACTGATACAAATTGATCGACCTATAACCTATGTAAGAATTATATCGTGAATACCTTGCTCGATTGTACGGTTATTGCTGATCATTTAAATCGATTTATATTAATTCAATATTGTATTACATCTACATGTCTTTGTATTTTGAAAATTGCATTTTTTCTGGTTATTATTAACAAGTAACATCACATAATGTGTTTAAAACTATTAGTTTTATTATTTTTATACTTTAAACATAATGTACGTATATACGGTTACGCTACGATAATTATTATTCATAAATATATCTACTCGAAATAGTGTAATTATAACTCGTACAAAGTTATACGGTAATCGAATATTAAAGTGTCATATTTTATTACAATAGTTTAGTATTTCATAGTAATTATAATTTATAAGCAAATATTGATCGTACCTACTTGCGGCCTACGAATTATTATGCCATGACGTAATTGTAATCGTGATATATATTAACTATGGACAACTTTTCGATTCAACCTATTGTTTATTATTATTATTATTATTATTATTACTAATGTTTATAGCAGGTATTATAGACAACGAACATATTTGTTCGATATATAACCCTTAAAAATAATTATTTTATTTTAGCAGTTCATAAAATAGACACCAAACATATACTCATTTCAATAGTTATCGTATGCAGTGGTTCAGAGTGCGTTAAATATTTTATAAAACTTACTCCGAGTCAAAGGCCAAAAGTTTTGTTGTTTTGAACTTTAATACATGCATTTATTTACCCTAGGGACGTTAAACCAAAGACCTCGTAAATTAAATAGTATTATGTGTTGTAGTATCTGAAATATTCCTATAAAATACAGGCTAATGGCTATAAAACCATAGTATACATAATACATAATATTATATTATATATATTACCTTACTTTTGTAATAATGTATACGCATCGTTGATCGTTACACATACACAAAATGTGTAACGAACAGTTTATCTTTTATATCTTTCCAACATTTTTAGTGGCTTTTCAAATTTAATATAAATGTATAGATACGCTGGTTTTATTTTTCAAACCTAATATAAGTGATGGCCGCGCCGCATGACAAGATGTAAGAAAACACGAAGATCAAGACATAAAATAATTTAATACTATACAAAACGTTACATAGTGGTAGAAACTAACATGAAGAGAACGTATCATTATAAACTTATAGGTTCCAAAATACCACTCTCGTAAATTAAACTCAAGCATCATGCATGTTTTATGCCAATATTTATTGTCAACGCTTTAAAAGTATGTTAAATAAATTAAAAGAGATTTAATTAGGTATAACTGTATAAGTTACCGTCAAAACTCGAAAAATAAATTATTTCGTACTATCATTTTTAGAAGTGAAATAAAAACTATTATTTAAATTCAATGAAATCAACGGCAACTCACGATGGTTTACTGTTTTACTGGTAATCTTAATATCATGTTTTAAATACATCAATTATTATTTTCAATTATATAAAATTGTATTTTTTAAGTCTTGTTAACAAAATAATTTATATCTGCTTACTTGATACTGTATAATTTTATATTATTATCGTATAAATAATGTTAATAACAAAACAGTGTCATAAAATACTTTTTAAATGTTTTCATTTATTTTTTTTTTCATGTTTTTCTTACTAGGAAACCATAAATTACTACCACTGAGCACCTATTTTAAATCATTTTTAAAACATATTGGTAGTTTATAATGCACAAAACACTATAGAATAATATAGGAGACTAAAATATAGTTTTAATGTGAAGATTCTGGACTAATCAAATTTATAAATTATATAATTTTTATAATTTATTTTTTAATTTATTATTGAATTTTAAAATTATTTATAATACTGAATACTATTGAAAATAAAATGATTAATAATATATAATATTTAAACGTACCCTAAATGCATCTCGAAGCTCTTTTTCCTCTTGGTCCGCCGTCTTTTCTGCTGTACCGCCCATATTGTACACTATTTCTACAAACTCTTGAAAACTGAATGCTCCATCACCTATAATAATGTAGAACATGATAAATTTACCTATATTATTAAATATTTGGTATAATTTGTTAACCACTTAAAAATTGTATTTGTTAAAGGCAACATAACCTACATAACATAAATGGCATCTGTTTTAATCTATTATATTACAATTTATTATAAAAAATTATTAATATGCCAATACCCAATTTATATGTTATTAATATATTACACTTTTTTATTTTACTTTGCCTAATGGCTAAAATCATTAATCTAGCTATGCAATATAAATTATGTTGATAATAGCCTGACGTAGTTTGAGTTTAATCATTCAAGATTGGTTCGCTTGATTTTTCAACCCTCCAAACTTCAACCCTCTTATTCTAAAATACACATTATTATAATTAAGGTATAATATATACCATCAATATCGACTTCTTGTAACATAGTTTCCAATTCTTCCTCTCTAGCGAACTGTCCAAGACTCCGCATAACTCGACCCAATTCTTCTTTAGTGATGCTGCCGTCGCCGTCTTTATCAAATAACCTAAATGCTTCTTGAAATTCTACAATGAAGATGCCAAATCTATTATTTTTAGCTTAATTTAAATACTAATATTATTATCAGGTACTAAAAAATAATATCAAAATTAAAAATAAAAACCTCGAAAAATGTAAACGAAAAGAACATTGTTTTTAATCACGCAATTTAATGTTTTAAGTTTTGTGATTTGATAATAAGTAGTCATTTAATTTGAGTATAAACGATTATATTAAAAGTATAAAGGTGATTGTAATAAATTGTTGTCCGTTTATTCGAATAAATGCGACCCTGGAAGAATTATTCATTCCCGTTTATATCGTAAAATAATACTTTTCTAGAGATAGTAATTAATTAAATGAAGTACACATAACTCAAAGTTTAATCGTGATAATTTTTATATTTTTAAATATTTTATCAACACACCGAAGATTAACTTTAAATTTAATTTTTAATTCTTTTAAGTACAGAAACCTACGCATAATTACGACTGGATAATTAGATAAAGTTCAACAATGAAATTTGGTTTATTCTGCAATATAAAAGCAATATATACAATATACACCCATAATATGATATATGTATTTGTATTGAATAACATAATATTATATCAAATTTAAAGATTAATAAGTAAAAATAATTCTTTTCGTGTACTATTTTCCGAGTCATAATCTTCATAATGTTACATAATATTATTATTGTGTTTGTATTTTTTTTTCGTTTTAAAGCATGTCACCTTTCATTTGTGCTTTAGTAACGTGCACTAAGTTTCTATCAGTAGGCTGAATGGGTTGTGGGTGTACTTGGATTGCCGTTGGTTTTTCGTTACTTGTGGGTTTCGGAGTGGTGCCGTTCACTACATTATTACTGTGGTGTTTTGTTACCGTTGGTTGTGCGCTTATATTTTGTGGCATTTGTTCGTCTATTTGCCGACTCTATAGACAATATACATTATATAATACAACAAACTACATATTTAAAGGTGATTTAAAAAATGACAAAATTATCATGTGATGGGTAACGAATAAAACATTTTTTAATCAATAAATAAATCATCAGTTAAAACTATAATATATTAGGTTTAATAGTAAATTAAAAATTCATAATTAATTTTTATTGAACGTAGGTACGACCTAAATACATTTATTTGTGCTTTGTGCGTCTAAGGATAAATAGGTAGAAGGAATAGAATATTGTTGTTTCTGACATAGGTGTTCTTTAATCTTTACCAGTAAATAAACTTATCTTAGATAGAGTTTAGATATATTTAGAAAAATTCAAGGCTTACCTTCTTTTTTTAATGAATATATTGAACACTATAAATTTACTTTTATGAACATAATGTATTTTGCGGCATTTGAGTATAAATTATAGTATCTAAAATGTTCCTACCTAAAAGTTTATACGCGAGAAAAAATAGCCATGAGACATGAAATATGTAGTACCTATTATCGTTCATTTTCTCGATAATCATGACTATTCTAAGAACAGAAATACCATGTATCTACGTATTTTATTATTAGTTACTTATGCAGAACCGCGTGTATCATATATATTTTCGTATTTATTATATGCAAAATATTTTTAATAATAAATAACGTTTTTGATTATGTTAAAATTAAAAATTGATCGAAAACGTAATTTTACAATCCCTACGTATAGATACCTAGTTATTACTAATAAATTAACGTTTAATATTATGTTGTATTTTACATATACATATGTATATTGTATACCTACAAGGCGAATCGCCAAGCATGATGATCACCTTTCTTATCCTTAAATACATTATAAAATTGAATATACTTATATACCTAATGGTTAATATACATTTTGTATAGTACATAGTGCTTCAAGTGCTTCAATAGCAATAATATAATTCATAAGTCATGTTTTTTAAATTGCTGTTATCACGGAAACAAGTAGAAGTGTAACATTATTACAAACTGAGAAACGATTGTGTATAAGTACCAAAGAATAGATACCCAAAATATCATTTAATATAATTAGTATAGAATACGAACTCAAAGAATAAACGAGAATTAATGCAATGGAAAGAAAAGGGTCAATTTAAAACTGTCTACCACTTTATTAATTTCATACCACTATACCTATATGATATAACTTCTTTAAACATTTTAAATGATATTAAGTATTTGAATTGTGCCTCATAAAATACATTAGATAGTTAGTATTAAAAATAATGATGATTTATTTATATTTTTTTTATGAAATTAAATTCATAGATAACTCTATCCCAATGAAATTGATAGTTCAAATTTTAAAATTATATACAAGAAAATATCAACTGATTTATTTTTGTTTAAATTTTTACGTTTTAAAAAGAATTATTTTACTATTCTTCTAAATAGTCTAAATAATTGAATACATAGTTTTAACATATCAAAAATTGGTTTATTGTAAAATGTGTGTATTAATATATTTAATTTGCGTTTGTTACTATAGTAAGAATAAATTTACATTTATTATAAGTACACGCAATATTCTCAAATGTAGATAAATCAATTAAGAATTTCATTAAATAGTATTAAAAACTTTTTTCTTTATCTAAAACTAGTTATATGCAACCTTTTAAATGGTATTCAACCCTTAAGTATTTATCTTAATTCATCAGAATTTACACACACACAAACATCCATTAATCTCTAAATCTTACTGTCTTACATCATACTACGTTTAATACATTTAGCGTAAAATAAATATATTTGATCTTTTTTTAAATAATACTTTTTCCAACAAATTCAGTAAAATGTTATTTTAAACTATAGTAATATTTACCAATACCTAGTAAAAATTAAATAATATAAAGCTTTTGTAAAAGTAATTAATGCACGCATTAGGTTTAAAAAGTTAAGTTTTCTATAATGCCTTCAATATTTCATAAGCATTTCCATTTCCTTTCCTAAATTTGGATTATTTAAAAATATTTTTAAAACATGGTTTTGTTGTGAAGAGTAATGCACTTTTATTTACCAATTTTAATATCATCGTTGTCTTTAAATATTTTCACGATTGTCATAAACTCAAAACAAACAGAAAGTTCATGGTTTCAAACTGAACCATCCTAGACCCAGTTAAAATCAGTATTAGGATAGAAACTAAACATAATTCATTGTCCAACGTTCAAGCATAATATATTATATCCGTGCTAAATAAGAAAACATAGATATCACAAATGTTTATTTATATATTATATTTCCTCGTTGTATAATTATGTAAAATATTTTTAATTATTATGTTTTTCAAAATTAAAGTTTGAATTTAAGCTTTTTTTATAAAATAAAATGTTTTTATGAAGATAATAAAATTTATTAAAATTGTGTGATGAATATTATTTTGAAAAACTAGTAGTGATATGCATAGAGAATAAAAATTAATTTCATAATTGTATTAATTAAATTTTATTTTTAAGTAGGTACCTATCTAAAATGCAATACAAATCGCCCGTTAAATTAATACGCATAGGTAGTTAAATTGTATTATAACATTATACACATGTACTCGGTATCGATACATAATTAATAATAATATTATCAATTAAATGTACTCACGACAAAATTCCTTATTTGGTTCACCAACGGAGAAGGCGAAAAGTATTTTTCGAATACTGATGATATTTTGCCGTCCATATTAAATATTATTTAAATATGGGTGATATACAGTCGAATTATAATATTTACTCAAACGAGTAAAACAAGTACTTCTAATATAGCGTTATAAAATGTCAAGTGCGATCTTCGGACTTGAAAAATGCGACAACTGCGTCGTGGTTAAAGTGGTTTTAAACCCGTTTCTGTGTTTCTCAATTTACTTGTGTTTATATTTTAATAACTGTTCACCATCGAAATATCTCTTCTCTCTACCATTCTTCGGACGTGCGGACGTGCAATTATCTACACCAAACGTTGCAGTGTATTGTCAAATCAAAACGGCAAATACATACCTATACGCTTTTCTATACGTTAAAACAATCTATAACGATTAAAAGAAACGCGATTTAGACGATGACAATAGATAGTACGGTGTACGGTTTATTATAATGAATTTGTGTATGTGTGTGTGTGTGTGTTTGTGTATTCGTGTACACGGTGCTAGGGCCGGATGTCGCGTACTACGGATATATAGTGTCGCGATAGAGAGCTGCACTTGTGCGGTGTTCACGTACTGTGATGGTCTTTCACCGGGTCTCGGAGATGCTGCATGACGACTACTACACGAGCGTTCGTAATCGTGGCGGGCGATATAACGCTCACGCGGCGGCGGCGTCGGCGTTGGCGACGTGCACACGCACACCGAGTTTATCCGAAACCCGGGGGTTTTTTTTTTTTAAAACGAAAATTCGCATGCGCTTTTCTCTCTGTCTCTCACTCTCTTGTGAGTTGGTTTTTCTACGCCGCCGCCACCGCCGCCGCCGAAAGGGTAAAGAAGAGTTTCCATCATCCGCGTCCGTCCGACCCGTCGCATCCCCGCCCCCCGGTATATCCGAATTTTCAGCGCCGGAGTGTCGGCGGCAACAAATCTTCGTGCCATCGCCGTCGCACCACGCCTTATACCGTCGCCGCTCTTCTCTCGTTCTTCGGTATAATAATATGGTACATAATGAATAACATATAATTAAAGCCTATGTACATACACCGCGAACATAAACTGCGTATAATATATTAAATATTATTTATATTGTGAATCTTATCATAGGTGATGACTTTTTCCGTCTATTGCTGTATCGGCCTCATCCCTCTATATAATAATCTAACGATATTATACGTGGTAATATTGTTTAATATATATATATATATATATGACATTATCATCTCTTTTAATGTTTATATATACAGTTGGATGTGACGTATAAGCGATAAAGAATAGCAATTTTTTATTTTTCACTTTTTTTATTCAGTGTTTTTTTTTATTCACGCTCGAGTGCTCAAAAATCGATTATCCAAACAGACAACATGGATGTATATATATATACATTACACACACACACACACACTCACGAAATACACAACAATCATTTCGTTATCACATATATATTATATATGATACAATATGTTTGCACATAATATATGCATACATAATCTCATACAATGTGCCTTAAGTGTATATAAACTATAAATCAAATACACATAGGACCTTTTTTTTTTTATCAAATATTTCTTCCAACCGACAACAGTATACACACTATACACGTATTATAAAGCATAGGCTAACAGCGATCTGTTGTTGATTATTTTGTATAATATCATGTGACGTAAGTAAGCGTTTGCTATAGTATTATTATTTGATGTTGTTCCAAGAGATTTCGCACGTAGGTAGTAACTAGTAACTTTAATAATACTATCTTGACCATGCCATGTAATACCATATAATATTATGTATATACTTAATGTACCTGTGACCTGTCCTAGTCATGATATTTCCCATATCATCGCTTATAATACACAACAACGGATACTGTCGACTAAAATTAGAGTTTTAAATTAAAAAATATACTACAAATTGTTTAATCATTGTGTGTAAAAATAAATTGAATAGAAGACGACGCCCTTCGTCTACCCCTTAAATAATTTATTAATAATGGTTAATAAATCTAAACGCGTAATCACAATATAGTAATCTAAGGATTACTATTTACTTAGTTTTCTAGGATTGTAAAAATAGTGAAAATATATCAAGTTAGTACGTCATTGACTGCCCGCAAATGCGAAGTACCCCTTCGTAGTGCCATGATACACCAAAAAAAAAAAAGTACAATATGTCATAATATGCATTATGATATTCAACTTAAACGTGCTAACTTTCAGTATACCTGTCAGTAAAAAAATATTTTAAGAAGACGCTATATTCACACGTGCAGTTTCTATTGTACACACGCGTAACATAGAACATCATACTGGATTCATACTGTCTTTATTTATAGTTAATATTACAGCGAATTTACATATATATTATTGAATTTGTATAAAGGAAAATATAAACAGTACCAAAGCGTAAGGTATTTTTTATACATTTTTTATTTTAAGAATAAGTTATACGAATTTGAAAAATTATGTATAGAAATTAATTATTTAGGTACTATTAAGAAACTTTTTAACAAAAATATAAAAAAAAACTCTTCGATTGGGTACAGTAAGTTTATATTCTTCTCTATACATTTTATATTATGTTATTTGGTTTGATATAAACTATAATATTAAATTATAATGAGGATTCGGTACGTAGATTGCAATGTTTCGGGTGTGTAAAGAAGAAAGAATACACGTAAATGTAACTTCCTCTTATTGATTAATTATCGATGTAATATTAACTTAATAAAATTGGTAATTTTTTGTGTTTTTTAAGTTAAACAATTTGTTTATTGGAATTAAATTCTTACATTCTAAATTATTGGTTTTATTTGAAGCCGTTTGAAAACCTGGGTAACAATTAACACAAAAGGTAATTATTATAGTGTTCTTCGGTGCTTCAAAACGATTATAAAAATCAAATTAAAAATAATTAAGTACGAAGAATAGATTAGTGAATAAATTATATTTATTAATTAGGTACCATAAAAAAAATGTAAAACTTACCTTAATGACTATATAAAAACCAACAACACACAACAATATACAAAATCTATAATGATCGGTCACAATTTAACTGCGGGTATGTATATTGAATGTTTTAGTTTGATAAAACTGAAAAATACTCGTATTACGTGACATCGTAAACAATATTTACGTACCTACATCTTTGAAGAGTTATGCAACTGCGTTTATGTTTGTCTTTTGACTTGTATGTGATTACACTAATTTACACATGAGATACCACGTATGTTTGCCAATGGATCAAATTTATCTCTAAAAAAACTATTTTAAATTTATATTTATACGTATGCGATTTTGTCTATATACATTTTTTTTTTTTTTTGTTTGTGGTCTACATTTTTCCAATCGTGACAATTACATTATTTTTATGTGACTTGATAAAAGCCCGTAAAATATTATAGGTGTAAAAATTACATTTTAATAAATTAGTATTATTCAAACTCTAGTATTTTAAACTTTTTTTTTTTACTATATTTTTATAAAATAACTAAATGTATACATTTACTATAGGTACTTGCTTATTTGTTTAGCTTATATTTAAATCGTTAGATAATTTATTTTCAACAAAATGTTCTTATTTTTTATTGAATTTACAAAGTTAACCATATACACAATCAATAAAGTCTGATCATTAAAATTGATGATTAAACTCGAGTTTCAATAAAAAAAAAAGTGCAGACAATTTGAAAATTAAGTTCCTTGTAAAACCATAAAGCACATCATTAAATTTTATCTTTGCTATTTGCTATTGCCGTATTTTCTAATAAATAAACTTTGAATTAAATTTAGTCTGTACTATGGCGTTTTCCCATTCTTCTTTATTAGATTTAAAACTCATGCCTTAACAATTTTCAAATTTGTCCAGTGATCCTGCAATTCTGTACGATATTAATGTTTTTTCGCTCATTTGAAAATTCGTAACAATATCTCCTTGAGGAAAAGTATAAAATAATCAATTTTCCAACATCAAGCATTTCCTAATTTTAATATATTCAAATATACCTACCTTCCGTCTATGGAATTTGCATCTTAAAATAGAGAACATCAAGTTCTACCAGCACTTATTCGATACGAATAATTATGATATGTCATATTTCAATGTTATAACTTAAATATTTTTTTCCAACAACCCTTAGAAATGCGCAATTTTAAAAGTTTTAATATTATATAATATTTATTATGGCATAAAACAGGTAACAATTATCAACTTATAAAGCTATAAAATATGAATTTTTTTTATTTCCTACGTAGACTAATATCATAGGAATATATTACAGTTAGTTATTTATCAGACATACTTTATTTAGTGATTATCATTTATCAGTATTTATAATTTTTTGACCAAAAGTTGTGTTAGGTATTTCATACCAAAACATTTGTTTCTAGAGAGTAGAGGTGTTAATTGTTTCAACACTTTTATCCTCGATTTCTTAATAATATTAAAATCGAAAACTCATTAATGTATGCTTATATAAAAAAAAAAATGTTTTATTTATTTAGTGTGATCGCAAACACTATTTCAAGGTTATTGCAAAGAAAAATCCTATTTCATATTCTATATAGATTTTTTACCCACAATATAGCCACTAACTGGTACATACACATACATACAAATTATATATGTATATAGGTTTGATATACATATAAAAAATGTTGTTTTTAAAATATAAACCACTTTTTAAGTATCTTCAAGATTTGTATTTTATATTCTAGACATGATCAAATTTTCAAATTTGAAATCAATAATACGCATTCCAATTGTGCATCACTCAGTATCTAAATGGGTTACAAATGATGCGTGCCAACTTTAGCGTACAAGAATAGTAAATAAAAAATGCGACTGTAGAATTAGAACAACTTGCAGTTGTCGTTACACTTTAATTTTCTTATTATTAATTGTCCGAATTTAAAAGAGAAGAATAATTATTACTGAATAAGCCAAGGTGGTTAACTATTGAAAAATATTTTAAGTAAAAATTTTTTAGAAAAAATACTGGATCAGAATAATGTTTAAATTAAATGCTAGCCTGTCGAATCCATCATTAACCTTCCAAACTGATCAACTTTTTTGTATCGGTAACTTAAATATGCATTTTACATAGCAAAAAAAAGAAAGATTTAATGTGGTAATATGACCAATGTTCTATGGTAGAGTAATTGATCTCAAGATGATACATGATATACATCACGGGTTCATCGTGTGTATCGCATATTTGCATACATTTAAAAATCGCATTTATTTGATTATGTATTATCAAATGTATTTATTAAAACCCTAAATATTACTATATATTTATATTCTATAAAATTGTATTCTAAGTATTAACCTACCATTATCAATAATTAATTTAAATTTGTAATTTTTCATCAAGTGTTATTTGGTTCTTATTATTTCATAATAAATTGAACTGCGATTAACTAGTTTTGGGTATTATTTTTTTAAATTTGTCAAGAGACTTTAATACGTATTTTATACTATTTTTCTTTTTACACATACGTTAGATTTTGATCACATAAGTTATTGGTTATTTAATATTCTATAAATAATTTCAAAATTTGTAAAATAATAAATATTTTGTATTTGAGTATTTCTTAATATTTATCTAATACAATTTTTATGTTACAAGATCTATTTCATCAACAATGTACACATTGGTAGTACCTAATAATTTTTTTTTTTTTTAAATATATTTGACTTTATTATGAAAAATTACAATTTATACTAAGTATAATAAGTAATATAAATATTTTAAGATAGTTCATTGGTTATTAATTACATGAAGGGGAAATCACACATTTGTGACACCCCTGAATATTTTAAGTATTTAATCTTAAATTATCAGGTCGTGGCACCAGTTTCTTGTGAGACGTCTAGCTGGATTGCCAAGAAGTTTAAGTGTAGCTAAATCGTTTATTAGTTGGTTAGGATTATCTCGTAGTTTGGAATGGAAGTGCTTGTAGAAGATAACAGCAATTTCATTGATGGATTGTAATTTGAGGTCGTAATTTAATGATTCATTTGAGACAAGCCAGGGTGCACCAGTAATTACACAACTAATAATAATATCCTATTGGTTAACGTGTATAGTTTTCAAGGTCGTATATTAATTAATTAAGTACCTAACTATCAAGTATTAGTTTCCAGTTTGTGACGTGAAGTTTTTAAAATTGTTCTCTTAAATAAATCGACTAAATGAAATTAAAAATAAATATAAAAATAAAATAAAATAAAAAATAACATACTCTATTCTTACATAATAATATTCATACCGATGAAACGATAAAAATTGTGAAATATATGAATATTTCAAGCAATAATAATATAATAACTTATTAAATTTATGGTAGGTACAAGCGAAAGAGTTTAATTTGAAAACGTCTAATATATCTAATATTTCTAGGTACATAACTATTTAGTATTTCGGTACCATAGTATTTAATCCTATACCTTAAATCCTCATATTACAACAACGTAACAATCGTGTACCCACGTAATACGTATTGAGATTATCAATTATCAAGTAATCGACTGTAGCTCGTCGTTGCGACCATAATACACTCAGCACTCAGCAGGCGTTTCGATTGTTGTCATTCGCTACGTGAGGTCCGTTTAACGTTTTAAGTTCAGTGTAATTGCCCACAATGATAATAATAATAATATGCGTATGATGCAGTAGCAGTGTGTGCAGCGCGATTATTGTTATTACGCGGTTGATAACTAACACGAACAACGAAAATCATAAGATCTTCTCTGTAAGAGATCTACAAATACACACACAATAATATTTTACGATATAATATAGACAAGTATATATTACTCGGATTACTCTGTTATTACAATCATACCGTGATGCGCGCACCCGTGTCAATCTGTGGCTAACTAATTGGACGCCAAGGACGGATTAAGTTTATATTATTATAATATTATGTAGTATGTACATATGGTTTCGTTGGTGCATTGTATAATAATTTCTCGTTCGTTGAAACCGACTGGACCAAACGAAGCGGCTCGAAATCGGTGCAAATGCCTCCACCGCTCGCCGACAGCTATAAATACGCTCCGTACCTGTGCACTTGCGTACAGTGATCGTCTGACGGCCAAAATAAAATTTTGTGAACTTCAGCTAGCTATCACATAAGAAGTTCCGTGATATAATATTGCACTATATACAATACATATTATATTATTGGGAAACAGACCCGAACCGCAGTCGGCTATACCGCATAATCATGTCTCTGATTTTTGACAAAAAATTCAAGCTGGAGTCTAGCGAAAAATTCGACGAATACATGAAAGCTCTCGGTAAGTCTTCGTCAATCTATGTAATGTATTATTTTACAGGAAAAAAATATACACCATTTTCGTAAAATATATATCCTAACCGTTGACGCGTTCGTTTTGTAATAAATATCTTGGATTGAATAACGACACGTTCTCGACGTTTTAATTGTATGTACATAATATCCTATATATACTATGATAATTGATAATATTTCCTTTAGAAAGACGTAAATGATTAAATTATGTTTCAATAATGTATTAAAGATTTTTAGACATATCGTCCTCTCAACGATTATTTTTTTTAATGCAGTTCAAACATTTTACTAAAATTAAAAATTGTTATATTATATTTAATTTTATATAGTTTTGCATTAGAATAATTTGTTAAGAACATTTGAGATCGATGCAATAATGTAAAATACTTATTTTATCCAATTGTTATTAATCCAACAATTATTGACTATTGTACCACATGTCTATTTCAATCAATAGAAAAACATGAAAAATTGTAATTACTTTGTAAATTTTATATTTTCAAAGCAAATATGCTTACAGTAATTATAGGTAATTACTAAATTATTTGTTACGTATTATTTTATAACTGGTGAATTTGTGAACAAATTGTAGCAATATCAAACATGGTTTTCAATAGATTTTGTAATATCGTTAGATAAAATGTTGTTACTAATTTAAAAATTGTTTTCATCAAATATTTTTGTAAAAATTATGTTTCATCTATATTCTATATTATGAATATTATATTAACAATCAATTCATACAATTATAGGTACATACAGAGTGTATCTAAAAGACTTAACAATCTAAATAACGCGTTACGATTTATATCATCAATTATCGAAATATTCAGATACTTGATTTAATTTGCTTCAATTCTCTTAATTTTACCCAAAACTATAATATGTTTGTACGTAAAAATATATGATACATAATAAGTTAAACTATGATATTTAAGTAGTATTATGACACTCCATAATTATTTTAGGGTTAACGGTTTTTCAGTATACCTACGGTCTCATATCGGTATACAAGTAAACTGATTATAATTGTTAAAATACCGCTTGAACGGTAAACCATAATACCACAATACAAAAGTATTATCATAATACCGAAGCAATAGTGTTAACTATAAACGGGTTGTAGCCATAACAGTTTTTTTGATTTATCGGTTAGACGTGACGTAAATAGTGCATATCATATCGACGTTTTTTGATATAGGTACAGTATTACGGTTTTCCAATAAGAAATGGTATAAGGTTTTTTGACATGTACCGATATTACAGTATACCGTTCCAAACCGGTACTGTTTCTAATACTGCAATAACGATATCCGATATCCGAATCTAATACTGTCAACTTTAAATTATTTTATTAATACACATTAAAGTATAACAAATGTATGCCATTTTCATTTAAATTTCTTACTATTACTTATAACACCTATAACGATTAACCATTAACGCGTAATTATACGGTAGAAATGTACTTTATTTTAAAAATATGTGACTAATAATTATGTTATAGTCATTTTTTTTTTTTTTTTAACTATTTTAATTATAATAATCAATATTGAATGATATTATTTACGTGCAGAATATACGATTGCATTTCTTTCTGCGCCTAACGCTTGGATTTATAGGCAATATATCTAACGTTAAGTATATAAGTAATAACTAAAACACCAACTAGTTTTAAATTACAAATGGTTTCAACAGTTAATTTATGATGGTACATGAATATTAAATACACGAGTATATTATATACAAACCTACTTATATGGTGTACTTATATAAATTAGTAAATTAATAAATTAGTTCCAATTTAAAATTATCAATATTTCCCGTTTGACTTGATTTTTATGAATTTTAAATGATTACATTAACTTTTCAATGTTAGTATGTATTGTACAATTTATACTAAAATAAGACATATACCTGCTAACTTAAATGTTTTAATTGTAATTATTATATTATATTTATTAATTTATTCGATATACATTGACTTAATTATATTTATTATGGTAAAATAAATATATTTTTTAATTCATTGACATTTATAAAAGTATTTAAATATGACCATACAATACGGGTAATTTAGTAAAATTAAACATATATATATATAAATGAGTTCAAAAATGTTATTACCGTAAATATAAACTCGATATAGTAAATACATACACCTGAGACAACATTAAATATTGAATAAATTTTTCATATTCTGTGGCCTGTACCAATGCCCAATACCAACAATAAATCTATATATTATAATATAATGAAGTAATATCTAGTTTTAGTACAATGTAGTATACTTAAGCAAAATTTGTACTCGAGTCCAAAGTGTGCTTACTTACATCATTACCTAGATGACAACCGGTGAAATACGAAAACAATTACAACATAATAATACTATAGATTATTATTTATTATTAAAATAAACATATTATTGCTATGATTTGTATATTTCCTGTAAACAAATAAGTATTACTTATAATCGAATACCTTAAGGTAATTAGGTGTAATAAGTAGTTTCGAATTAGTGTATTTCAGCGATTTATGAATCATAAGACGTTTCTGCAGGCATTTGCGTTAAAGCTTCGTATATATATATTGACCTTTAAATAATACAGCCTTTGAACTGTTGTACGCATGTGTGCGTGCATACTTAATACTTGTACCGCTAACGATGACTATGGACCAGCGAACGAGAAACGTACGCAAAATAGGTACAATGATAATAATATATATTATATTATTGTAAATTATAATATTGTAACAACATCATTATTATAACATTAAACTGTTATCAATACTGTAAATTTTATAATGGGAAACCAGCGCGGGATTGGTATTCGGTCGGTCGGCCAGGAAGACTAGACGCATATAAAATGGGACGGACCCGGCGTTGCAACGATTTGATAATATATAATACTCCGTAGCGTAGTAGTGGAACCGACGCTCTTCGTCAGTATAATATATATATAAATTCTAATATCGTTCTGCACACGATACACTACACGCGGCTCGCTCATTCGTTTCTCGTCTCTCGTCTGCAGTGCTTGCCTGTACCTACCCACCTGTAATATCGTACACAACCGCGTTATAATAGTACCTAAGTTTACCTATATATATATATAGGTATATATACATTTTTACATTTTTACCGTCGTCGTTCGATTTTATTTAACTTTTCCGGCCGTGACCATGGAAGCTTTTTTGAACAAAAAATATAAGCTGAACTCTAGCGAAAAGTTCGACGAGTACATGAAAGCTTTGGGTAAGATTTCGTAAATGTCTACATTATTACTACTATTATTATGTTATATCTAAGTACTATTGAATCTACACTATATTTATCACACACGGTAAGCCATTGGTGTTCTAATAGTGTCTTGATTAATTTTAATTTAAATATCACGTATACTTAGGTATTACAGACACGTTGTCTGTACGCGTAGAGACCGTGTGTGGTCACCGGTATAAATATTATAACGTCACGACCTGTGTATACGTATGATATTATTATAAGTAGGTATTCATCTAAATTCACACGTGCAACTTGGTTTAGAGATTTTATTGATTTTAATTTTTAAGTAATTAATTGCATAATTCAATTATCAACGCCGTATGACGGAAACGGACCGATAACAGCTGCGAGTAATAAACAATATTATATTATACAGGTACACTGCCGAACGTTTCTCTTCGGCCGCGTTCGTTTTAACGATTACGACGACGGTGACCACAGTCGCGCACGCTAACGCTGCTACGTCTCCCCACTACTTATCCACCCGCCCACTACCACACTAGCCCCGAACTCCGAATTGCCGCTATTCGACCGAAAATAGGTCACGAGTACACCAGAGCTCTCGGCGATTCATTTTCAAAAAAACATCTCTCTCTCAGATGCATACGTTCCGAATTCCGGTTCCTTATAAAGGTAAACCAACCGGCCGAGGTGAATTTATTTGTACATGACTACCTATGTAAATCATAAATTATCTTTTTCAACATTTCCATGATACGAATATTGTATAAATTACCTATTTATTGATTTCTATTTTTTTACTTCAGTCATTATAACACAATTTTTTTCCGTTTTACGTTCAAGTATTACAACATGTGAATTTACATCCGATAATAATAATAATAACAATAATATTACATTTGCGTTGTGTTATCAATCACGCGTTTTAAAACAAATTTTACAAAAATATTTTGCACTCCCCAAACGGCCTGAACGCGACAACTCCGCAGACTATAAAACACAATTTAGGGGCGCATTTATTCTCAATATAACTGTATATTTCACTTAGCGGATTTTGAAGCCAGATTATTGACTGGCAACCCTAATTTTATTAAAACAATAAAGCCAATATTTTGCACAACCATAGTATTATATATTGCATCATGTACTTATGAGTGTTAATTCACTGTAATTCATCGCCTTTTCGAAACAAAACAAAAAAAATCGTAATCACCCTATTACAATATGTATTATATTATCAGTACATTACAGTCCGACGGGGCGAGTGATATGGAAATACGAAATCCTCACATATCAACCTAACGGCCAACGCCCCGCGTTTCTGTATATTTATTTTATTTTTTAAAAACTATTTTATAATTAATTTAGCCCTGGTGATCCGCCACTAATGTGAGAAAATTATACAAGACTACGAATATTGATACATATTGTTATATAGTTATATAGATACATGAAATATTCATAAAATGTTTTTATTACTTATTAAAAATAATTCGATGCACGACTTGCACTTGTAGTGTCTGTACAATGTACGTTCTATATAAAACAATGTATATTGTAGTTAGATAAACGCTTACTGTATCGATTGAATTATTTCGATTATTGTATAAAATTAAACAATTATTCTGTAAATTATTAAAGTATCTACTATTTGTATATACACTATACAGCTGTATAAACCTTATACTCAAATTCGTTTGTAAATTATTCAGTTTAGCTTATTATACTTCATATAATACAATAAAATACTATTATTAATAATAATTTAATACAATGCTATAAAATACTAACACTAATTATGATATAATATGCACCAATATTAATTGATTTTATTTGATTTTGAAGTGGCAATAGTGTTATCAATAATAAAACCTATTTAACGTAACAATTTTGCTAAAATTTATATCGGTTTAATGTTTAAGTGATCTACCTATTTAAACATACACACATATATATATATATGTTTTTTTTTTTGTGATAAATAGAACATAATTTCTAATAGTACGCATAAAAAGCTCAACGGATAAAATTATTTACATTATTTATTAGCAAGTACATTGTAATTACAGTTTAAGCAAAAACAACTATTTTTACCGTGATTCATTATTTATTATGATAGGTATAAACTTTATTTTTCGTAAATTTGAGATAAAATTATAATAACATAAAAAAATGATAGTAAATAATTATTTACACAAGATATAAAAATCAATATAAAATAATATTAAATTTGGAACAAAAATTAGTAAGTAAAAAAAAAAATTGATTTATTTTCTCTGTTATTTTATGGTTATTCGCGGACTACAGTTTGGGAAGTTCTGTTATAGCAGAGAGCATAAACCGCTAGGTTATTTCAGTATAAGTACATTGTATATCATTGTTAATAATTGTTAACGCATTCTATATTATGCATAACTTGAATTCATTCGCATGTCGGTTATCAGTGCAGTAATATGTGAAATTTCTATTTAGTATTAATATAGAACTATTCTAAGATTATCCAAAGTATGTAAATATACCTATTACAAATAGTTTCTATAATGTTTATTTTGGATCGAAACTATAATGAGCTGGAAACGGGTCATTGGCCATAGGTGAAATTTTTTATCGAAACTATGAGAGCTCAATATTATTATTATTATTATTATTATTATTGTTGTTGTTGTTACACTTCGACTTATTAACACTCAATTTTTTATACTACTACTTACGTAAAATTGTATTACTATTATTGTTGCAAATAATGTAAAAAGAAAATTATATGTTTTTACGTATCTATTTACGTGATCAATCGACGCTTTTCCTTTCTCTGTTATATTTTTCTACCGTAATATACACTAGAATTTCACTACAAAATTGTGTATATTAGTCAGTTTGTTATTAAATGCAATTAAAATAGTTCATTTCATCAAAAACAAGCATTACATTATGGTTAACAATTATTTGATATAGTCACAAACTAATATTAACATTTTGATACATCTACAGAAAATATTTACTTTTACATTAATGCAGAATTAATACATAATATTTTAATTTTAAGAGTTATTCATTACTCAATACACAATTCATTTTGATATTATGATTTTTCGTTTTAAATAAATATTTTTACCATAATTATTTGTTTTATTTTATCATAGTTTCAATGTTGTATGACAACAATACAATAATGTATTATAATTGTTCTATATTAAGAAATTTAAATATTGAACATTATATTACACTTCAAACCAAATCATAATTTAGTTAAGTTATACGACTACAAGCGATAGAAATATTAATATTTGTACAAATTACAAGGTATAAACTACTAAACTACCTAGTTAGTAGTTTGTACAGTGCGTTTTTTAATAATATAATATATTATATTGAATCACGTATAGTATAATTAACTGAATGATAGATAGGTTAGGACGGTTAGGTTATACTACACAACACAACTTTAAATTCATAGAATTTGATGTTAAGTATTTCATGAAAAAGTTAAAATGTAAATTTTAACCTAGTATAATTGTCCAACTTCTCTAACTATACTGTATTAGTGCATTACTGTATAATTTTACTATGATGGATTGATAGACGATTGATCCTCCATGTACCTCAGTGAAATTGAATAGATTTGTACGATAATAATTAGTCTTATCGATATATCGTCAAGTTAATTAATTTGTTCATCGTTTAGGAATTGAGTATCATTAAGATGTAAGATTACTATAACTGTTTTAACTACACTAAAACTTTTGTATCACTTTGTAGCATAATTTCATCATACGTTATAACTTAAGTTTTTGAATTAAACTATGCGTTCTATAATAAATATCAAAAATAATCATTGTATTACTAATATACAAAATGTATCTTATGTCATTTATACGCGTTTTTTAATGATTTTGGATCAACAATATGGAATTTCAAAAAAAAGATATGTTTCTTGATTTTTAATTAAGAAATTTTTTTATCACAATTTCATAATTTTTAAACACGTTGTAATTGTAGCAAAGTCAACTTTGTCTTTTTTAATATTAACAAGTAACAACTATATTTTTAATGAATTCTGGTAGAGCTTTCTGAAAATTTTGATTGTAAAATTATCAGTTTTAATTGGCTTATTTATTAATTTGGCCTTCTAAAGTGTAGTAAATGAATTAAATTTTTTATAGTTTTAATAAAAAGTTAAATCATTTTTTTAAACTTTCTTTTAATGAAATTTTATATTTTTTTTATTCTCTAAAATCGATAATCAGATAATAATTAATCAAAAAATCAAAAAATATTTAATTTTGGGATAAATGCATACAAAATAATTGGCAACACATAGTTCATTTATTTTATTTTAATATACAGTTATAAAATAAGTACTATTTTTGTATAATACTAAAATCTTTATATTATTTCTACAATTACTTTTTTTAGAGTCTTAAAAAATTTGATTTTTATTTAAGAAGCTAAGGTAATAATGATTGATTATTATTATAATAATATTAGAAATCTATAATTAACTCAGATTAAAAACAATATTCAGCTCCTATATTGATACTAATGATATTGACTATTTATATAAATATATAGGATATTTTAAAACATATAACATTAATTTTAGTAGGTATCTAAATTAGGTTTCATGGTTTTAATTTAAAAAAATGGATAGGTACCTACCTACTTGTGTTTTTGGAAGTTTTAACTACATTGTACTAATGTACGTTTCTTACTTTGTTTTGTAGGTGTTGGAATGATGACCCGCAAATTAGGTAATACCGTATCTCCAGTGGTGGAGTTGACCAAAAGCGATGATGGAAAATTTGTGCTGTCATCGAACTCGACATTCAAAAACTCATCTATCGCGTTCAAACTCAACGAAGAATTCGATGAGGAGACACCCGACGGCCGCAAAGTGAAATCGATCATCACCCAAGACGGAAACAAGCTAGTACACACCCAAAAATGTGACAAACATAACGCAACTACGATCGTTAGAGAATTCGAGCCCGATCAATTAAAAATGGTAAAGACGATAATAAAATCAGTCACTACGAAAGGGTTAGGTAAAATAACCTAACACTGTTATGACGATCACACAATAATGATATTAATATAGATACTTAAATTAAATTACGAAATTTACTATCATTATGTACAAAGACTTATTGTCAAAGTAATTGAATTTATGTCCTATTAAATATTTATATATTATATGCATTATAGGGGCTTATTACGTATATATATATAAATATACTTTGATTTTTATTCTTATAATAGGCAATGCATTAAGTATTTAAGTGTTATTATATTAACCTCAACATATTATAATATGATAAATTATAAAAGACAATTTTTGATTTATAACTATAACGCTTTAATTTTTACTCGTGTATGTATAGATATGAATTTTAATCGAAAAAAGAAGTAGGTAATAAAGATTAAACTTACTCAAAATTATTGTAGTAAGTCAGTGAAAAAAATTCAAAATAGGTTAAATTTTATCTTAATTTTCTTTTTTCTAATTTGTGAATCCGAAATTTAACAATAGATAAAAATCTAAATTTAAATATTAGATCAAAAGTTATTGATAAATTCAAATTAATTTGAAAATATAATTGCGAAAAACAGAGAGTTTTTGATCATATACTAGTACCTACCACAATTGTCATAAACCATGATCATGATGAGTGCTACCTTAAAAGCTTGTCTTAACATCAATTTATTTATATGATGGTTACATTTTAATATTTTATTAACATATCAATTAAGTGATTAAAAAAAACTCAAAATATCGATTTTAGATAACACTTGTTAACACGAAATCGTTCACAAAGTTTGTACAGAAAATCTGCTAATTATTATTAAAAAATTATCTTTTAGAATTTTAGATTACACTGTATGAGATCTTGTAATTTACAATATAAAATATTAACAGAGATATGCTTTTCAATTTTCAGGTTCTGACTGTTGATGACATCACTTGTACCAGAATCTACAAACCAGTCCAATAAATATATAATATATTACAATATGTATATTATAATGTTATTCAATAACTATAAAATTCAGATTTTTTGCAACTTATCCGAAATTTTACCTACTATTTATTTATTATAATGTTATACAAGTGATAAACCACCTAATTACACGAACTATATTTATTTAATTTTAATAACAGTCTTGTAATTATTATAAAACGTATCTTTAATATTTGGTACGTAAGCAGTTACTGTAATCGGTGAAAATATAAGAAACAGTAAGCACTTAAAATATTGTAATGAAAATTAGTGCTATCAAAAAACAGAAAATATAAAAAATTACAGTATTTGCAGTGTTGGTGGCCAACCCGTTTGCCTGAATGCATGTCAAAAGCCAGTCAACGTGGTTGATTGCGAGCATAGTTGAAGACATGTAAGGGGAGCAACAAAACGGTTAGCTGATGTTGCAAGCCAAATGAGCACATTTGGGCTATATAATATCAAGATATTATATTTTTAAATTGGGAGCTAATGGATGACTGAAAAAATATATACTGTGCTGATAATAAATGTAATGTTTAGAATAGAGACTTTACACAAATTGTTTTATAACGTTATAAAATCAATTGACGTATTACTCATGATCTAAAAATGAATGTATAATTTTAATATTTAGAGGGAAAATAGACACGACTCTATTTCAAAAAAAAAAAAAATACGCAAATGGATACTACTCTGCTATATATATCAGGTATTGAGTAGGTCACTATTATAGGGGTGTGTTAAATTTGAATTTAATGATATATCATTGTACACGAAAAACGATTCTGAACGGAGGCGGTCTTTCAACGTAATCATCACTAAGTATATTTCATGATATGTTTTTTGATGTAGTTATTATTAATAACTTATTAAAGTAATTTATTATACTTTTAGTATCACGATAGGTTTATTTTATTGTTTTCAAAAATATTGTATTTATTATATATTATGATTTAATTATTATAGTAATGTGTATTTATTCTATATTATATCAACTTATAAATCTCAATATGTAATAACATATTTTAATAAAATAAAATAATAAAAATAGGTTCATAGTAAAAATAGATAATAAAATAAAATAAATTAAAATGTCATAATGAATATTACATTTCATAATAATATAATGTATGTATAGAAGTTTGAATTTTTCAAATAATTTACATTGTTATTTATCATTTAAATAAATAATTTCATCCAAATTTGAACTTAAAAGTACCAACTATAGATCTAATTTAACACTATAAATCTCATTTTTAAAAATGTCAATAAAATATTTAACGCTACAATATACATTTATAAACATAAATATATATATATATATATATTATTGTGAAATTAACACATTCATTGCTCTGTTCAGAATTTAAAAATATAACTAGAAAAATGGTCTCGCTATTTGAAAATATATATATTATTTATTTATTTATAAATAATGCCAGCTATGATGTAGATAACCTAACCTAAAGATATAAACTTTAAAAAAAAATCTTTTCAGCAATAATGAAAGATGCCTTATTCAAATTATGTATGAATATCTCAATTCTACTATTAATCATTATGCTATAATAACCTTGTCTATAGATAAAACTGATAAAAAAAATAATAAAATAACCGTAAAATGCTACTTAATATTTTTTACACTGCTCAGAAAAACATTGAATAATATATGTATATGTTTTTGAAATTATAATTAAAAAAGTTAATTAATGAGATTGTTACGGTAAAGTAATTATAGTGATTAATTATTATACTGTAGATCATTGGTTAATAAGACCAACTTAGATAGGTAATTAGATAGGTACTACAACGTTAAATTATTATCATCTTTGTTAATATTTGGTTGTCATGGCAACTGCAACAGTCAAAAAAAAATTTGTTGCGTCAAATCAAAAACATATTAATGTAAAAAAAACTAAAATTTCTGACTTTTGAGTTTCTAATTGAAGGGTAGCTTAGGTCATACAGCTTAAGCGATTTTATAATCTTTTTAGATCTTTTATGATATTTTTTACAGGCACTTCGTATTTATGTTTCATTTTGTTATCAAAATTTAAATATTTTAACTGCGGTGCCACATATTATAATACACGTTTAGTATTAGTTGATGTAAAAATAAGTACACACGTAAGTTTTCTTTATTGATTATTTTCAATTACTGCATAAAATTTACAAAATTTAAAAATTTACATAATTTAGTTGCTAGTGAAATTTTGTGGAATATTTAATCTATACGTGTATTCCAATATTACAATATTAATGTTTCAATTTAAATTCCTTCTTTTCTGAATATATGTTTAATTTATAAATATACATTCATTGTATTTCACTCAATACTAAACGCTACTAATTTATTATACCGAAGTCTAATTATTATTTATTAATTTATTTATGAACTATCTCATCTAAATTAATTAATATAGAACGAATAACTATTAATTATTTTAGTTTAACGAATCCAAAGGGTAGAAAGTTAGGGTTTATATCCTACTCATTGCTATATTTTTAGCTGACCTATTTATTAAAACGATTTTTATTTATTATTTATTAAATAATAATCTGCGATTAACGCTTTGAAAAAACTTTCTCAACAAACATGAAAATCAATTATTTGTCAACCATTTCAGTAATTTGTTAACAAATAATAACCTTAAGACTGTCACAAAAAATTCTCTACAATACACAGTCTTAAACATTAAGTTAATAAATCCGTTAAGCAAAAAAGTAAATAAGTAAATAAAAATCTGGATTCCTTAAAACTACCCTGAAGAAACCTTCAGTATACAAAATTATATATAAATATCCCCATGAGCACATACTATTTTAATAAGTCAGTACCTTGATTCCCCTCTTCCTCTTACTCACTCACTCTTCTCTCTCTTTCTATCTCTCTTTCTCTATCTTTACCCACTAATACTTTTCTCCTAACACAGCCTTTCGAAATCCCCTGATTATGATCTAATCACTTCAGAGGTAGCCAGTTATATCCATAAAAAGAGCACTAAAAAAGCCTCCCGGCCTATATACCTTTCTCTTACATCGACTTATAAATCCTTTTTTATAAAACCCTTTTTAACATTTTTTTAAATACTACTCCTAAAATGAATCCTCCTTTACACTTAAGTACTCTAGTAATACTTCTATTACCTTGTACTCGGTTTAACTTCATTCTTCTTACTTCCCAGTATAATATCAATTTTTTGTCAATCGTATTAATCAACTTATATAGTTAAATTAAATTTCTGAAAACCTTTTTGAATTCATTATGAAATTTAGTTGAAATCGATTCTATTATATTCTTAAACTAATTTTTTCATTTTAATATTATTAAAATTTTATAACTCTTAATATGCAAAATTAAAAAATTAATTTTAATGGATTCAAAGTTCAATATAAAAAAGTTGATAAGCCATTTTCAAGTAAACTTCATTATTCATTCAAATATTATGTTTTCAGATTGATTATCCTATGACTAAAATCATCGGTTCAATTCGGTATAGGATAAATCTATTTCGGTAGAAAACACAGACTGTATCGAATCTCTTTAACGTTTATAATATGTACAAAACAAACTAAAATGTATAAAATATACCTATCTATATATTATAATACAGCTACAAGTACAGATCATAATATCTTAGTCCCACGTGGTTATAAGCTATATAGTATATAGTATATATTAACAATTTAGTCTATAAAGACTCACAATTTTTGAATGGTTAATCCCCTCAATAAACTAAAATGTATGATTATTAATAATTTATAACATCCTCTCTCATTAAACTTCTGAACATCTATTGAATTTTTCTTATTTCATGGTTTTAAATATACATTTGAATTTTTTTCCACGCGTTACAATGATCAGCTAATCTCCGACAGGAAAGTAGTTAACCATATACGTAAATTGGAGGCTTGGAGGGCTTAGTCATCTTAAAATGTGAATAGCCCCCCTAAACTCTTGTTCTATGACCTGTGATGGATCTTTATATCGCGGGCCGACTATATTATTAATTAATGATTATTGATTATATAAAATATATTATTTTGTCCATACATTAGATGTATAAAGAAACAAAATATTATCAATTTTAATTATTTTAAATAAAAACTGTTCGCATTTCAATAGTAAGTTATAAACCATGATGATCTAGAGGTTACTCCGCATTACACTTGTATATACAAGTGTTATTTTAGTAAGAATAATACCGTATTCATACAATATGCTATAGTCAATATTGAACCACATAATAAATGGCTAATTAATCATATTATATATTTATCAATCCTTAGGAAATCCCTTGAAAAAAAAAATAATATAGTTATTACCCATACAAATAATATACATACCTATAATTTCAATTGTTTAATAATAAAATCTGTACAATCATAATATTATATAGTAAATCTTGAAAGATGAATAACATTAAATTATAAGATGTTAGATATTTTTTACAAAACGAAAGAAGAATTTTTGAATATTTAACGAAACCTTTTTACAATAAACGATTATAAAATAATTTAAATTTTAAGTTTTATTCTCAGTAGGTATTCATCGTCTTTATTATGTGCCTATTTTCCTGTAGCTAAAAATCAGAATTCAAGAAAAAAGAGTAGGCACAATTAATAATTGGTTAATAATCGTTACACAAAACTAAACGAATAATGAATAGCATATATTTAAAATAGTGCATTTTAATGATAATCAATGAGTCATGTATTAAATTTTAATAATCTATTATTAAAATGTAACAGTAAGTGTGATAATTATTTTAATTATGTTTGCATTTATAATCAAATTAATTAAATGTTATTTTAATAAAATAGTGATCACTCACAAAAAATTTTAAAAATTGTTTAAGTAAAGTTTTAGCTAAAAGTGCTATTTTTTTAAATTACAATTAAAATATGATAATATTTAGGTAGATTGTTTAAAACGAGATTGTCTCTTTATTGATCATATGTTCCGTTGTCCCGACAAACTCTGAACGGCACGCTTTTTACCCCGTTTTTACAAGATGGTATCGTTTTAATTCCGTTATTTCCATTATTATTAAATAATGTTTGTAAAAAAAAATATCAATGTATTAAAAGAATATAAAACAATTAAAAAAAAAGCAACATATTATAATAATTATGTATTGATTATT